GGCCCTGCGCCGCCGGGGCCCCCGCCGAGGTGCTGGTGTGCGAGACCCTCTGCAGAGGTGGGTCCCGGTGCCGGTGCCGGTGCCGGTGCCCGTCCGGGGGCGAGGGCAGGGCGGGCCGGGCCGGGCGCGTCCCCCCGGGGCGCTGACGGGGCTGTGTTGCAGGCAGCGGGGAGGGAGGGCCGAGCTCCTCCCGCGTCTTCGTGGTCCGGCGGGATCAGGACATCTACATCCAGACCTTGCGGAAACTCTTCAACGAGTCGCACGGGATCTTCATCGGCCTCCAGCGCAGCGAGGAGGAGCTGCCGGGGAAGTCGAGGAAAGCGCAGTGAGTGGACGGGGAGGGCGGGCGGCACCGCCGGCGCTGCCCCTGCTCCCGCCAGGCGCAGGCCGTTGACTTACGCTTGCCTCCAGCGAGGCCAGCGCCATCCACCAGGCTGCTTAGAGCTGCTGCAGTCGCCAGCAGTGCAGAAAAAAAGACTGATTCGGGGTAGTTTTACAAAACAAAGCCCCGATTCTTCCAATAACCACGCTGACCAACGCCTTTGCTTGCGTGTGTCCAGCCACCGCACACAGCCTCGCTGATCCCCGCCGGATTCACCCACGTACAGGGAGTCTCTGCTGCTGCAGAGAAACTTGCGGGGCTTTAGTGGACAACAGGCGTGAGACTCAAACAGCTCTCCCTAACCGAAGGCTTTTTGTGTTTGGCAGATTGGTTCAAGTGAGTAAAAACTACCGCTCGGTGATAAGAGCCTGTATGGAGGACATGCACCAGGCAGCTAGTAAGTTTGTTTGTTCTCTTACTGCAATAAAAGGAAATGCTATTTGTGATTATAAAAGTAGCATTTCAATTGTAAGTTATTGCAACTACTGTACAATAGCATGCATAGATTTCAGTAATTATCAAGGCTCCGTTTCCATCTGGGAGATTTCCAAGCTGGTTTGTAAATCTGGTCAGAATTTTTTTTTTTTTTTTCCCCACTGTGTTTTAACTGATTTTCTGGAGACTTGCAGTCATTTCATATCTCAGGTTGCAGTTTTATGGGAAACTGAGGCCAAATTAACAGCTTGCTTCCCCCCCCCCCAAAAGTTGGAGATTTTACTCTTCCCTTCCGTCCCCGCCCTGTAGCCATACCCAGATTTGCACAGGATTTATTAAAAAAAAGCTATAAAGTTTTATATAAAAGCGAGCTTTGCCATGTGTGTACTCATTTAGGTCTGTGCTTGATGAGTGATCGGGTATTGTTGTCTTTATTTATGAGCCCAGAAAGGGCTGTGAAAGGGAAATGTGTTGCTCTTTGACTTTCCTTATTCTTCCCTCAGTTTCAGCCCGGGACCCTGCCCTGCACAGCCAGTATAGCACTCAGGTAAGCCGCAGTCGTGTCACGTAGTCACAACTGAACACGAATCTCTGGCTAGTAAAGTCACCGAGGCCAACGCTGGCAGTAAGGCAGTTTAGATTTAACTCTGGCTTCGTATATTGGATGCAGTTTGTAACCAAGAATAAATGGGAATAGATAGTTAGCTCCGTTATTTCTAAAACAAGAAAAAGGTGCCCAACGTCTGGATTCGCTGCCATTTCTTGAACATATATTCGGTGTTGCAGGTGTGATGTTTTCTTGTCACCCTAAAGGCAGCCATGGGCCAGTACTCACCTGTCGGAAACTTCACCTCTCAAACACTCAGGTTCCAACCAACTGCAGCTGAGCCTTGCAGCCAGCTCTGGATGTTCCCCGTGAGCTGTCGGACACCAGAAGGTGTTACGGGAAGAGCAGAGTGCTCACAGTGGTTTTGTCCTGTTAGCTGCACTGATGTTGCTTCACTGGCCTTTCTTTCTTCCTTGCTGTGCTGTTTGTAATGTTAAGTCTTGGAAGTGCAAAAAGGCTGAAAAAGACTGTACTGTTTTGTATTTCGCGCTGATGACAGATTATCATCGCATCTCAATACACAAACAGCTTGGCTATTTTTGGAGCTGAACGGGTGTAGACAAGTTTGGCCCGATTCTCTCTTTTCGTTTGTATCTCTGACTGTCAGTATGCCATTTCCCTCTCTGTAAGAGCTGACCTTAACTGACCAGTTGCTAGGGACAGCAGATACCTTTGTGTGGTTAAAGAAAAAGACCTAACTGGAATAATTGCTAAATCTGAAACATGGCCCTGCTTTTTTCAGGTTTCTATTCTCTCTGCAATGGAGCTGATCTGGAACCTGTGTGAGATTCTGTTTGTTGAAGCAGCTGCAGGTAAGCAGTGAAGTATCCTGATGTTAAGACTGAAGGGCTTTTTGTTTGCATATTTATTTTTTTTTAAATATATGTAGCATCCATTGTGTCGTATCTTAATATGTTTTAGAGATATGACAAGTGTCAGTAAGCCTTTTAATACCTCTTCTCCCTCAGTAAATTGCCTTCTTCATATCGAATTATGTGAAGCTATTAGATTTGCCGTCTACTTCTTCCCCTCATGTGTAGTACACTACAATTAAATTGTCTTTTTTACAGAAAGGTAGTGAAGAAGAGGGATATCAAAAGTTGTTGCCAATTTATTTGACTTTTAAGCATAAACACATCTTTAAGCATCAAATATGTTGATGTCAACTAACATTTACTCATTCTCTGATGCAGCTCCTTTAACTTCAGGATGCCGGTTTTGAATTCAGTTTGTTTATACCAGCATTTTAGAGAAGTAAATAATTTCTTAAGGAAATCAGATTATGCAAACAAATATGTTACTTGCACAGTCCCAGAATTCAGAAGAGAGATTCACAAATGATGGATTACTTAATCTGAAGAAAAGTTAATCACCTAGTGCCAGATTTCCTCTTCACATTCAGTTAATAATAATGAGTTGATGCTAAATTAAACAGAAACATTCTGTGTGTCTTTTGGCATTGCAAGATTTATGATCTGAATCACTCACCCTTTATTTTATTTCTTCAAGTAAGTGGTTAGGGTTTTCTGCTGGACCTTGCTGCTGTTCTGTCTAAAATTGCCGCACGGAAATCTGTCAGCAGCCTGGTGCTCCCACAGCTTGGCTACTTCGGGAACTCTGTTCCTTATTAATTTGAGCGTGGCAGATAGAAATCCAATTAGTAAACCTCATCTAATGATTGTCAAACCATTAAAGTTAGAAGCACGTAAAATAACAGTTTGGGAACAAACAGCTGGGAACTAAAGGAATGATATCTTCTCTGCATAAAGCTGGTCCCCTTCTGCTTCGCCTCCTTGACTGGGTTCGACTTCATGTCTGCGATGTGGACAACATGGTCCGTGAAGTCCTGAGCAGTGAAAATCCATCGAAACACGAGCTCTTCTGGAATGTGGTGAGTATAGTCACCTGTAAGATTCTTAAACAAAGAGAGTTCACGCCTGTGTGTTTCGCCTTCCTCCTCCCCACTCGACACTAGACTGCACCTCAGAAACTGATACCTAGGACACCGCCATGCCTGCCTATATAGGTTTTAAGGTGAAGCCGTTCTGACGATCATCCTACCCCTCATTCCCATCCTGATCCTTTTGCTTTCGTGATCCGTAGAGGTCAGGACTTACACTGTGTATTTGAATTAGCAGGGCCTACGGTTTAAGCATTTTAACTCCGCTTGACTTGCCTAAATCAGAAGTTAAACTTCCCCTCTGATGGTCTTCCTGGGTGTTTGTAGCCTTGCACAGCGTGGCGCTCACAGACGGGTGGTTTTTGCAGGTGGATGTCTTTGTGCTGCAAGGCCGAATGGATGAAGCACGGCACTTGCTCTCCAAGGAAGCCAGTGCCAATCCCGCGTCGGTGAACATGTACAAAATCTTGGATGACTTGATGAAGAAGATGCCTGTGCCCAGTGTATGTACAAAGGGGACTTGTTTCATGCAGTTCCACTGGGAGAAGAGAGCCGCCTCTGATGTGGCTCCTGTAACATCACAATTTGCTCACCATTAAAACATCTCAGTCTTAATCCTTTACAGTAATAACGTTTGTTTTCTTGAATTGCCCAAAAGACCCAACCATTCAGATAAAAGCCTGTTCGGTGACAAACCAACATAGTTAGAAAGATCATTTT